CTTCAGAGCATTAATTGAAAGTGGCCCTTAGTTAGTACTGTACTAACAACATGTTTAGATACCGCCAAGTAGAGTAGTAATGCTTCTTTTGCTTTTGGCTTTGATAGCACCGGTGGTTGTGCTAGGTGGGACTTAAGCTGGTCGAATGCAAGCTGGCACTCAAGTGTCCATTCGAATTTCTTCTCCTTTCTTAATATGTCGAAGAAAGGTCTGCATTTGTCTATTGATTTTGACATGAAGCGGCCAATTAAGCTCTGAACTTCTTTAAGCATAGCTGTGGAGCGCATTTCAACAATGGCCCATATTTTTTCTGGGTTGGCTTCAATCTCTTTTCGGTTTACCATATACCCTAAATATTTTCCCGAAGTTACGCCAAAGGTACATTTCTGGGGATTCAGCTTCATCCCGTATACCCTTAAAATCCCAAACATTTCGGCGAGTTGTTGTGGATGATTCCTGGCGTCCGTGCTTTTTACCAACATGTCATCCACATATACTTCCATGGTCTTGCCAATTTGTTTGGCAAACATAGCATTAACCAAGCGTTGGTAGGTTGCCCCATCATTTTTGAGGCCAAATGACATCACCTTATAGCAGAAAAGACCTCGATCGGTGATACAGACTGTGTGTTCTTGATCGGATTCGTACATGGGTATTTGATTATAGCCTGAATACGCATCCATGAAGCTGAGTAAGTCATGCCCAGCGGTGGCATCCACCACCTGATCTCTCCTTGGCAGCGGAAAACTGTCTTTAGGACATGCTTTGTTCAGGTCGGTGATCCATTTCGGATACCCTCCAGTCCCCATTGTTTTTCTTAACTAAGATGGGGTTGGCGATCCATTTCAGATACCTTGCTTCTCGGATGAACCCGTTTAGAAGCAGTTTTTGTACTTCCTTATGCAGGGCCTCATACCGTTCTGGATTCAAAGGTCGGCGCCGTTGTTGTTTTTGTCGAATCAAAGGGTCAACTCCCAATTTATGGCACTTGATTTTTGGGTCAATCCCTCTCATGTCGGAGTGTTCCCAAGCGAAGACGTCAAGGTTTCCTCGAAGGAAATCGATGATCTGGCCTCTTAGGGGAGGTCGTAGTTCATGACCGATCTTAAACTCTTTAGGGAGATCTTTAGTACCGACCTCAATGATGTCCAGTTCTTCCACAGGTTCCCCCCTCGCACTTTCAACCGTGGGTCCAATGAACTTGTTGAGGGCTCTTTTGTGCATGCCATGCAAATCTCCGGAGAGTAATAAACCCTTTCTCCTTTTGATTTGACAATCATTTGACATTTTTTAGCAGCGTCTTTGTTTCCTTTGACCTGTCTTGTACCATGAGGAGTTGGGAATTTGATAGAATAATGGTACATTGATACTATTGCCGTGAGATCAAATAGTAGTGGTTGCCCCATGATAGCATCGTAGGGGAGATCCCGAGTGTAGAACCATGAATTTCGTATTTAACCTAATTTGACGAGGGGGGTCTCCGAACTCGATAGGGAGTTTAATTACTCCTTTTGCCCCATAAAGTATACCATCAAGCCCCATGATCATGTGTGCATATGGTTGCAAGAAACCGAATGGAACTCCAATTTGTTCTAAAGTGTCAACATAAAGTATGTTGAGAGAGCTCCCCGTATCTACCAGGACTTTGGGAATGTTGACTTTGGATAGAAGCATAAGGACAACCAAAACTCTAGGATAAGGATTGGTATCTACTTCTTTTTCCTCAAACAGGAGTAGGTCGTCATTCGCTTTTCTGTGGTGATTTTTTGTAATGCCGATCTCAGTCAGGTCTGCTGTAATAGGTCTTTTGAACCTTGAGACCCCTGTTTAATGGGAGCGTTGGTCTTTTAGCATCTGGACCTGGGGATTAGGTAAGTCGACGTTACAGGTTCTAGCCTTTTCCTGGTTTCCGCGTATCACGCCTGGGCCACTTGATGTCGGGAATTTGAGACAATAATGGTATATTGAGGTGGCAGCCTGTAGCTTATGCAAGATGGGCCTCCCTAATATGGCATTATAGTTTGAAGGTAGA